GTTGGATTGGATTCCCATGAGGTTGTATTTGCTGAAGAATTTAGAGGTTCTCAAGGGCTTTGTGGTTAGTGATACCATCTACGAGGGAGTTGCGTGCAACCTGAATTACTTGAAGAAATTGAAGAAGCTCAGAAAGCTGAGCATCAAGATACACAGAGATGATCTCGGTGTGCACCAATTGATGGGGGATCTTATAAAGCTCAAAGCGTTGACGAGTTTGAAAGTGACATGGAGGAGGGACTTAAACATGGTCCGTGCTGGAAAGCCTGAGGATTCCACAAAGATTACGAGTATTCCTGATCAGTTAAAGAAATTGGACCTGCAGCGTTTTCCGCACGAAGAACTTCCCACTTGGCTTCATCCCCGCAATCTGCTTCACTTGAAAAAGCTCCACATCGGAGGAGGTAGAACACTCAAGGGTTTCGGTGACAAGCCGGAGAAGGCAACAGAATGTTCCGTCGAGGTCTTACGTCTCACTTCCCTCCCCAAGCTAAGGATAGGGTGGATAGAGCTGAAGCAACTCTACTTCCCAAAGCTGACTTTCCTTGAGAACTACGACTGTCCAAGAATTAGTCTCACTCCCTGCGACGGAAATGGAATCTGGAGATCTGACCAAGACGACTAATGTTGTGCTCGAACTCAGGTTTAATGGTTCCGGAGTAATCTGTTAGATATGCAGCAAAGGTTTGGTGGACATTGGTTGGTCTGGTTGTTTTTTTCAGTTGTGAGAAACTTGAGAGATAGTGATTGTGTTTTTATTTCTGGATGATGTGGTTTTGGGGAAGGTTTTCTGTTTAAATAAGCTAGTTTTGGGTACATGTACACTCGCACTCTATGCAAAATTGCAAAGACAGAATATGACGATTCTAATTATCGGCGTGATGCTTGTGAATTTGCATTTCAATGGGTTTCGATATCGTTGTTCTTTGGGGGTGCAAATATGGTTACATTGAATTCAATACTCGTTCTTCTTCATTTGTGGAACCATTTAAATACCATCTTCACCAGCATGATTTACTATTAACCCTTCAAACAAATGAGTAACACAGGGAAAAGATACCAATCCTACCTTGCAATAGGTGATCCTGCGTGGTTGCAATACGTGGTTGCAAGATCGTATTTTGGTTACATGACTGTATTTTGTCGGAGACCATCTCCAATAGTACACTAAATCCTACACCAAACCTATTTTTTGGTGTAAAACCCTCTCCAACCCAACACTATTTTCAACACCAAAATGATGTAAACTCATTTTTTACACCATTTTGGTGTTGAAATTTTTTATTTATAAAAAATTCTTTCAAATTTTAATCAACTTTAAAATTAATAAAAACATATACAAATTATGATATTTAAATCCAAAATCTAACATGTTTGATAATAATTAAACAAAAGCTTAATATATTTTGTTATTTTATATGCTACAATGTATTTTTTATATAATAAATGTTAAATTTAATTTATTTCATAATTTTTAAAATTTAAAAAAATAAGTGAGGTTGATTTGTAAATTTTAAAGAAATGAAAAAAAAGAATCTTTTAAAAATATTTTATTTTGGTGTAAAAATTGGTATAAATAAAACTAATAAAAAAAATAGTGTAAAATGGTCTTCGAGGAAATGATTAGTTCAAACAATTAGATTAAGATTAAAATGAAAATATTCAATTATTTAATCTGAAAAGATTAGAAAATGTCACCATTGAACACGGAAGGAAACATGGTGGCGCCCAACGAGGTCTGAATCCACCAGTAGG